AAGGGGACCCTGCAAATGAATTTTAGGCATTCACTGTTATGCATAGCTTCTGCAAACCATTGCTCAGAATTTAAGCTCCAATACAATTCCTTCCTCAGATCTTAAAGTTTATTCTTTACAATCCTTGGATCATGCAAACTGGAATGCTTCCTCCAATGTGAACTTAGTTGGCATCTCACGTAGATGGCTGCTTGATTTAAAATACACTTTCAAGATCCAAGATGCTATTTTTTTCTGAAAGCCAGACACCATTTGATTTCTTCTTCACACTTTACTAGAGCACCATATCTTTAGTGATCCTTTCATGCGGGTAATATCAACCTTTGCTCTTTCCCTTGATGATCCTCTCATCAGCAATAGTCAAGGAATGTGTCTTCAAGCTCACTGATTTGGACTTCCATTTCTTCAATTCTCTTACTCTGCTCTTTTAAAGTGTTGTCTAATTCTGTTATCTTAGGGACCATCTACTGGATTTCTATTTGTTTTGTTGTTTTAAGGTTTCCAGTTTTCTTATTTTTCTGTAATTCTCTCAATTTCTTTCTCCATCCATTGGAAGTAGTTGAACTGTTTCCTGGTAATTCTAGAGCCTTTTCTTCTTCAGGTAATTCCACTGTGGTTGGGTATTTTTTACATTTTTATCCCTTTGTGTGTGTGTGTGTGTGTGTGTGTGTGTGTGTGTGTGAAATGACCCTTTCATACAGGTCGCCGTGTGTGTGTGTGTGTGTGTGTTTGTGTGTGTGTGTGTGAAATGACCCTTTCATATGGGTCGCCCGATTCATCACAGTAGCAAAATGACAGTGATGAAGTAGCAACGAAAATAATCTTATGGTTGGGGAGTCACTACCACACGAGGGACTGTATGAAAGGCTCGCAGCATTAGGAAGGTTGAGAACAATTGCGGCTTAAACAGAAACAGAAACCACCAAGAAACCGGACCTCTTCCTCCCAGGGGATTCCAGCTCTTGCACATTTCTTTATAGGGTGTCATTTTCAACAATGCCCACAAGGTGGCAGAACATCTCCTCTCTAGACTTCTGAGCAGAGTTACACAAAGAGAAGGGAAAAAACCTCAAGAACTGGTACTTATTTAACAAAGCCTAAGTTTTCAACGATTTGATTGCAACAGATTCTTGTTTTAATGCTATTTTTTAAAATCAAGCCTCGGCCAGGTTTGTGCCAAATACTAATGGAAAAGGAAAAATTTTCTGGGCTAAATTTGGTTTATTGAGTATTAAAGGACTCTGAGAACAGGGCGGGCCTGCAGAATACAGAATTGAGAAGTGGAAGCTCTTCATTCCTACCCCAAATATGGCAAGAAGTCACCCACCGGCTGTTCCAACATACAGAAAGTGTCTGAACACTTCCACGTGAAAAGAACTGCCACAAGAGATGGGGAGAAAAGGAATTACAGGGAAATATCTTAAGGTCACAATAATGAATAAAGCGTTGAAAACATGCACAGGGACCAAATGCGGCAGGCACCCTGGACTAGTTCTTGGAGGAGAAAAGAAGCCTTAAGGCAGCGGTCCTCAACCTGTGGGTCACGAGACCTTTGGGGGTCGAACATCCCTTTCACAGGGGTCGCCTAAGACCATCGGAAAACACATACTTCCGATGGTCTTAGGAACTGAGACACCGCTCCTCTCTCTCCATCTCCAGGTGGGTCCGCCCACATGCAGATACGCCCACGTATGAGTGCCCGTGAAGACTACACTGTTAGCCATGCTGCACCATGCTTCAAGACAAAATTTCATTTATTTGTCATTAGAAGTAAATATTTCTTGGATGGAATTCTTTAAAAAATAAATAAATAAATAAATATTTCAGAATATATACTACATACTGTTTTTGTGACGAATCACTGTTTTAATTATGTTCAATTTGTAACAATGAAAATACATCCTGCATATCAGATATTTACATGACAATTCATAACAGTCGCAAAATTAGAGTGATGAAGTAGCAATGAAGATAATTTTATGTTTGGGGGGTCACCACCACACGAGGAACTGTATTAAAGGGTCACGCCATTAGGAAGGTTGAGAACCACGGCTTTAGAAGAACAATGGGCAGAATCTGAATAGAGTCTTATTGTTTCATGAATAGGTGCCCACCCCACCACCACCACACCCCTACCGTGATATTGGTTTCTTCACTCAACTCCCAGCTTTGCGGTCGACCTCTGTAGGGCAGGGAAGAATGGCCCCTGTGAGTTTCTGAGACTGTAATTCTTTACAGGAGCAGAAAGCCTCGCCCTTCTCCCGTGCCTGGTGGTTTCAAACTTCGGACCTTGTGGATCACAGCCCCATGAATAACCAGGACACCACCAGCGATAGTTTTGATAAATGTGCATGATTATTTAAGATGCCGCTTCCCTTCAAGGAAGCTGGGTGAAAGGCACCCGGAAACTCACGACGATGCTTGTTAATGTTTCGGTTAATATCAAATGATTCCAAGATTGAAAACACAAACAAACGGGACCTAGAGAGGGGAAGCCCCCGCGACAACGGGCAGAAATACGGGGTCATAGTCAGAATGGCTTGCGTGCGGGACCACTGAAGAGGGGAGGCTTAAAAGCAAGCGGCGGCAGCTCACGAGCGGTATGACACTGTTCCTGGGTGCCATCAAGCAGACTTTTCATTCACAGCGACCCCACGTGATGGAGCAGAAGTGCCCCAGCGAGTGGGCTGGGCGGCGCCAGGTGGGGATCTTGGGGGCCCCGGGGTGGGTTCAGGCTCCTAACCTCTCAGACCCATGACTGCCACCAGGACTTCTTGCAATAAGACCAGAACAGACAAACTGACAAAGCCTGGCATAAACCGGGGTAGGGGCTCCCTGCCACGGCCGCAATGCTCACTCATAGCGCCCCCTGTGGGTTTCCAAGATGGTAGCTCTTTATAGGAGTAGAAAGCCTGATTTTCCTTCCAAGGAGTTGTTGGTTTCGAACGGCCAGCTTTGTGGCTCGCAGTCCCATGCGTAGCCACTACACCAGCAGGGGTGTGGACAGAGTGGTATCACCTAGAACTGGTGGAACAAAGCCACGGCAGCCTTTCTGAAACGCACAAAAGCCACAACAGTCAACGGCCCTTGATCAGACACTGTACATTTGGGAACCTGAACTACAGCCAGATTTTATCAGAGAAAACAGTCCTCTCTTCTGAAGAAGCGGCCAGTGTCCCTCAGGACTGGAACCTGCTCTGCGGGTCCCCCCTGCACAGGCGGATTATGGAGTCAGAAGTCAAATGAAACCGCGTCCACCTCTTGCCGTCAACTGGATCTTGGGAGGCCCGGTCTGTTCAGCACGGCCCCAGGACCAGTGCAGGACGCTGCAGCGCCCCGCCACCACCTGCCCAGGCGCAGGCCAAGGCGCGCAGGCTCAGAGTGGGCGCTCCCGCTTCCCACTCACCTACGACTGAGGGCACCCTTTGCTTCCGTTGGTTTGGGAAGGAAGCCTTCCTGCGCTGGGGCACAGGTGGCCGAGAGGCGGGGAGGGGTGGGGAGGAGGTCCATGGAGCAGCATCCCGGGCGGCTGCTGGGTCTCAGGATTGGGGTACACGCAGGCAGGCCCTGCTCAGAAGACTGGAGAAAAGTGCAGGTGGCAGAAAGGAGCCTGAACATTGCTCTCCGTTCTAGCAGCAGCCTCACATCTCCAGCTCTCCGGGTGGCTTTTCACAGGGTGGGGACACCTGCAGGTTGAGTCCAGACCCTGATGGGGGGGCGGTGAGGGGGGCTGCCCATGACCACAAATCTGTGCACATGGTAGACCAGCAACTTCTAGGTCCCGTCCCACCACTGCCGGCTGGCGACCGATGCTCTGTGCCCTGGTGGGGTGAGGGGAAAGGGAACCAGGAGCTCCCCGCCCATGGCCACCACTCCAACCATGGCAGATGAGTGGCTCTGCTCTGGGACACTCTACGTACCTGGACTGGGACCAGCCACCCCATGTCCCACCTGAGGACCATGGGATATGCACCCCTAACCCACACTTGCCCGGCATGCCATGTCCGGGACCCTGCTGTGGCGAAGGGCAGCCTCCCCAGCCACGTCACAACCCTGCGACAACTGCTGCCCTTCAGGTACCCAAGGACTTTCCTTGGGGAGTCAGGGGGTGGCAGGTCATCTGGGAGCAAGGCTCCAGACCCTAGTGAAGGTCTCACCATCCCATGGGGTTCCCCTTACACCTGTTGTCGTCGAGGTATTCTGACTCACCGCCTACTTCACTTATCAAAGACGCCTGCCGAGATCACCTGGGGAAGAGTTTTATGATGGCGCCGGACTGCAGGCAAGCCCAGGCACCAGGCCCCTCTCAGCCAGGTCTCTGCAACTACGCTAGCCACACGCCTCTCCACAGGCCCCGGCCGGTCCCACCAGAGTCCACAAGTAAAGTCCCGCACTGCCTGTCACCAGGAACACCACACACCTTCACTCCGTGTTGTGACTAAGATTTGTGATGGAGGAGTTGCACCCGGCACAGGCGTGAGGCTGCTCTGAACGGGCTGTGTGTGAGGGGTTGGTGTGAGTGCGAGAGGGACCTCGTACGAGAGGGACCTCGTACGAGAGGGACCTCGTACGTCCCCTTGTGTGTGGTCGGTAGGAGGCGTCTGGAGTGCGAGGGATTTTGTACAGCACCTGGCAAAGGTGCAAGTCTGCAAGAGAGAGAGACAGAGAGAGAGAGACAGAAGGAAAGACAGAGAAGTATTGTATCATCTAGCACAGAGGTGATGCTGCTCTGGAAGAGGTGGTGTGTGTGTTTGTGTGTGTGTGTGTGTGTGGCATTGTATCACCTGGCACAGGGGTGAGGCTGCTCTGGCAGAGGAGGTGTGTGTGT